CCCCGAGATCATGGTAACCGGTGGTTAGAAGTACTGAGGAATATGACTGAATGTCACAAACGGTGGTGCTCGTGCATCTAATCAATATTCTCGCAACACCAATCTGTATAGATTTTCTATCTTCCGCTTGAATTTGCTGTCAACATTCTAACCTTCCTTCTACTCATTCATCCAAATGGACGGAAGAAAGTGCATTATTAATGGTTGTAAAAACTAAAACTGAAACCTGGCCACGATGGTGCCATCGAATTGTCGGTCGGTTTGGTCACCAACGTTCTGTTCGTTCTCGATGACTTATCAGATTAATCGATTTCATAATTCACTCATCGACAAGGTGAGTTTGATGTGGTTAAGATACTCAAGTATCGGTTTTCACTCATTTTTATGGGACTTCACGCGAGTAATTTTGACGGGATAAAACAGCGTCGAGGTCAGCCAGGTAAAGTAAATTAATGTTCCATATATCCTTCACGGCGTTATGTCCTTTATCTGTCTCAGCCGGCACGGGTACTAGCGAGGAAGCGATGCTCGAACAAGCGTTAACGATGTCAATGGATATGAATGCTGGTGGAACTCGTCCTGCCGGTCCTATGGATATCGATTTGGCTGCCATGACCGAAGACGAACAGATTGCTTACGTCTTGGAGATGTCATTGCAACAGCAGAATGAAGTACCGCCACCATCCACAAAGCCGGAAAAGGCGAGTTTCCATGTTGTCAGCGTTCCATTTGTGTTATGCTTGATAAAAGTCCCTTCTAACTTTCCTAAGCCCTTTAATCATTTCTTGTTTGTCTTAGCGTCTCTCATGGTACAGTCGGTTTATTGATTTTTGAATCATCGTCGTAGAATTTCTTGAAAAAATGAGTTAGTACTGATCAACTTTAGTATCGTGCTTTGCAGAACGGTGGATAAGCAACAGTCTATGCCATTACAGTCAGATAACTTATTATCATGACAGAATCCTGTCTATGTGCAACTGGTTCATCAGTATTCTAGGGACTTTGAAATGATAATACAAACTGGTCGTTTGTGTAGAATTGAATATTTCTCGTTTGTGTTCCTTTTTTGCAGTGATGGTTTTTGTATTTTATTTTATTACACACACTTGCGTGTGGTTAACAGCAAACAGGGTGGCCCCCGTAATCACGAGGACCTGCGATTCAGTAATGGAAACCGGTAACCTAAGCCCTGGGACTTGGAGTGGCGAACCACATAAGGCCCTGACAGGTCAGGCGTGGTGTTAAACCGAACGACAGCAGAGCTGCCTACCAACAAAGTTGGGTGGCGGTGGCGGGGCTCGAACGTCGGACCGTAGGATTCAAAGCACGCCGGTGACGGCGCCTAAACCAATGCGCCAGAACCACCTACTGAAACAGAATATGCAAGTGTTGAAAGCGCGTTAGAAGGATTTCAATTAGTGGTTACACGTAACTAACGTACTTGGGCTCCAAATTCAACGAAGTAGTTATATGAAGGAAGGTTCTGTTGACTTAGTTATCTGCTAATTTGCGGTCAAAGCTTTGCTGGTTTGGTTGGCAGCTTCGCTGTCGTTCAGTTCAGTTTAACGCCTCACCTAGTGTGGTTCACTACTCTGTCCCTAGAGTTGGGTCACTGGTTTCCGTGAAGGAACAGCGGGTTTATCCCGTCTGCTGCTTATCACACGAGAATTTGTTATAGAACAGTATAGTGAACCGCTTCGATCAGAAGTTGAAGTACAAGTTGACAAATGTGGTTTAATTTTTTCAGCTTCAAGATCACAGTAGGGCTTCACGTCATATTTTACTACATCTTTCTACACAGTATGCGGGTGGAAATTCTGTGACCTAAAAATACGCCGTGTGGTACGAAGTATAGCAAAACGCGGTTCGAGTCACAAATGGAATTGTACTTATGCTATCAGAATCGATGTTGATCGAGTGGCAGGACGTAGAACAATGTGGATCATCAATAAAGAAGAGGGGACTAATATACTAAAGAGAGTACGGTTACTTACATGATCGGAGACATGAGGACAAATAATTCTTTGATTCTCAACCAGAATGAATGATTCCGCTTCGGTTTAGTGCATGAGTGATTGTCTCTTGTAGATATTTTAATTCCTATGAATGGTCAATTTATTTTCCTGAAATATCGAGAATTAATTGCCAGGTTTATCTTGATGTTTAATAGTTTCTTTGCTTCCGCCTACTGTCTGATTGCAGAAAACTATTAGGCTGATTCACGACTTACAAATGTGACTAACATACAAATGTGCATTATCTATTTAGCCGGATGAAGGCGTTGCTCCAATGGAAGTCGATCAACCAGCCCCATCGAGTGGTGGAGGAACACTGGCTTCTGCTGCGGCCGCAGTTTTAGGTTTACCGGAAACTGGTACCACAGGCGGCACTGACTTGGATGTGATTCATGATGCCGATTTCCTCCAGTCCGTGCTCCAAAGTCTCCCCGGTGTGGACACCAAAAACGAGGAGGTCCGCAAAGCTATCAATGCGCTTTCAAAATCCAACCCCAGTCAACCAGAGAAAAAGGATGACACAAAGAAGGACGATGCATCGGCTGGTGGAAGCGCTTCGGGGTCAGCCAAACCATAATTCTAATTGTCTGATGGTTTACTGCTAATCATTTGATTGCTTTCGTGCACAACAGTCCACTCTCTCACACATACTGTTTTACGCGTCACAGCCTTTCTCTCTCACGCCGTTCCTAACTTTCGATTCTGACCCCAACCGAGCCGAGTGCTTTGGTTGATGTTTGTGACCCTGGTTGTACATCTACACTCTCTCTATGCTTCATTTCGTTCTGATTACGATATTGTTCGTTGGTTGTTTTCGCGAAATCCGTAGCAAAACAATTTAACTAAACAGCAGTAAAAATCCAACGCGAATATAGTCTCATCAGATTTTGCGCCTTTCTGAACATTGTCCATCAAAGCAACAACTGTCTCGCTCAGCATACCGACTGAAAGTTCAGATATACTTAACAAATAAAATCTTCCGTTTCCATCGAGGCGAGTCATCGTTTCTCAAACAGTGTACGTGTTAAAAGAGTAATGTTTGAATGAAAAGTGCGCATGCAAATGTAACCCTCAACCGGAGGGTCTAGCTTAGCGGTTTGATCTCGAAAACATCCTCAAGTTGATGCAGTTTAAGCGAAACGCAGGCTGGAATGTTTCATCGTCTACAGCTGATTGGTGAATGATGATGATAGAAGTTTGAAAGGAAAAATGTTGGGTTCGTGGTTTTAGCAAGCGATCGAGATCGACACACCACTTGTTCGGATCTAGGGGGTCATACGAGAGGCCACACCTGTGTACTTGTGTTGAATTGGGGCAAAGGTAGCCCAGAACGCTCATGGGAGCAAAGCAGCCGGTTCGTCAATCGTTGGGATATCGCTTCTTCAGAATGGAGAGTCAGGGTGGATTCAAGTAATGACCTTCACCATTTGTTGTCACTATTCGGTCTTCACAATCCGTGTTAAATGGAAGTATTGTATAAAGCCCTATTCAACGTGATCGGGGCTTCACCATTAGATTTCTTTTCACCAAGCCGTTGTGATTGTTCATTACTCAAGGTGTTCAAGTTTCCGAATAGAAATTTTCGAGAGTAAACATTATATATATATATATATATATATATATATATATGACACCCTTCGGAGTTCAGATTGTATGCCAACTAAATCATGGTGTAATAATCTTTATATCAAGACGAAAGGGTTCATGGTTTGCTTGTGGGTGCGATACTGCCAGGTAGCCCAGACCAAGGCAGGTAAATTTTCTTGAGGGATACACAACCGGAGCCTTCGGCTAGGGAAAGCCTGACCCGCTTGNCAGCTGGGTATGTGACAACCGTAATCCATTTGGGGGCCGGTGTTCAGCTCATCGGATCATACTCTCTTTGGGCAGGGTCATAGGTCCCAGGCGCTGAATACACCTCGATGCCCACTGCCACAACCGGTTGTGTGGTCGTACGTCTCCTGTTGGTTGATTTGGAATCGGGATTTTTATCCAACTCCCCTAGGTGAACTGTCACGGGTTCACCGGCCAGGATATATTGGCTTTCCGTCTTCTCACTTCTGTGGGCAAACACCTCCGCAACACGAGAAGGCAGTGGGTAGAGCTGCCTCAGTAATGGCTATTTGCAACACCCAGTCGTGTGGTCGCATCTCGCGAGATGACCAGCCGCGACCTGAGATACCCACCCCAGACCTTACTGAGGCTTTCGTAATCAAAAGGCATCTAGCAAACCATTGAACACTGATGGATGTGTTCTGTGAGTACAGATTTCCTGCCTAATCCTAGTAGAATCCTGCCAAAGAGGTGTGCTCCTGGGAGTCGATGATTCTCTGCTAAGTTCCGTTACGTTTCATGGCAGTGCTGAATTGGTGTTTACATGCAGCAAACTGTCGACAGACAGCAAGTTTGGTCTAAGTTGTTCGGATGATGATGAGCTCCTCATGTCCGGGTTTGAATCAAGGTGGACTCACTGGATGTTAACTGCCGGTTTCTTCCGAACAAGGATGAGGAAGTTGTACAGTT